AGAAATTAAAGTATAATATACACAAAGAAAAATGCATAAATATTATGTACAGCATGCCATTACTAGCATCCCAGAATCTCTTTCTTCCTTTCTTCCATATACCACTCATTCCCCATTGAAAGAAAAAGAAGAAAAGGTGACTGTTGTCCTGATTTCTAATGTTACTGATTAGTTTTACCTGCTTTAGAACTTTAAAATTTTGTCTGAGCATTCGTGATATGAGAAAAAGAGAGCTCTTTCTAGCTGTTTCCAATTTTACTCATGTCCAGGTAGCATTCAGGAAAAAAGTATCATTATCTTTTTCACATTCAGAACTTCTCTGTAATATCTTAGGAATCTAAGTAGAAACCCAGGCATATACAGTTCTTGGTTTAAATATTTGTCTTAAGCAGGCCAGATTTTTGTGTATGTTAGCAATTTCCATTTCCCCTCATTGTATTTTTACTCTTTGCATGTTTCCCCTTTCTTTTGATTAACAGGAAATCTCTTTGTATTAGGGATATTAGACTTTTACATATTGTGCTGTAAATATTCTCTCCCAGTCTCTCATTTGTATTTGAACTTAATTGCTCTAGTGAATTTAAAATACCTTGTGTAGTATGTTCTGACTGTTGAGTTTTGTGTTCTGCTTAGGAATGCCACCTCCAACTAAAAGTATGTTAAAAAATAAATCTGCATCTTTTTTTTTTCAGCTGACTTTTATTTATTTGTACTTGTATTCAAATACAGTATGAGGTATTTCTGTTAGCATTTAAATGTAGTAGGCTATTTAAACATCTTTCTGTCGTCGGCCTTTCCCATTAAAAAGGGGATTTAAAAATGGGATTTTGCTGGAATTTCATCTACGTATGGCTACTACACTTTTCATCATAAACTTCTAGAGAAAATTTCCACCTGTATTTTTTACTTCACTTTCTTTTTGTCGATTGAGTGTTATCTGCATGGCTTTGCAATTACACCGAAATTACCTATGCCCAGGGCAGCTTTGCCATTCTTTGAACTGTACCCAGTAGACTGAATTTAGGCCTCCTCTTTCTTAAACAGTGTGCATTTATTGTTGGCAACTTTCTCCTTGGAACACATCTTCTTTGGCTTCTTTGATCTAGCTTTTTCCTGGTTTTCTTCCTACTTCTGTCATATTTGTAGCCGTTTCTTTTTTAATCCCCCTGGTACTGGTATTCTCTAGAATTCCTTCAGTTAGATTCTCCACAGTTCACACTTAGGCTCATCCTTGGGTGATACCATCAGTCTTACGGCTTCAGTTATCAGCAGTATTCTGATAACCCCCAGGTTTCTAGCTGAAATTTCTTTTGGAAACAATGTATTTATGTCCCATAGGTACATAAAGCCAAACCTATCATTTCTTTCCCTCCCTCTAAAATCAGCACATCTTTATTATAATTCCCATTTCAGAAAAAGAATAGACTCCTACCCAGTTTCTCTGCATAGAAACCTATTTGTCATTTTAAAAAATTGAGTTGAAACTCAGATAACATAAAACTAGCCATTTTAAAGTGTACAGTTCAATGGTATTCACAGTGTTGTGCAACCACTGTTACACTCTTCAGTTTCAAAACACTTTCATCACCCCACAAAAACTCCCAGACTCATTAAGTAATTGCACCCATGGCCCCCCACCCCCACTTTGCTTTTTGTCTCTGGATTTGTAGATATGAAAGGAATCATACGGTATGCAGCCTTGTGTCTGGTTTCTTTCGCTTAGCTTGATGTTCTTGAAGTTCATTGAGAACCAACATGCCACAATCGAAGTTCTAGCTTGTTGTAGCATGTACCAACAGCTAATTCCTTTTCTTATGGCTCAATTATATTCAATTGTATGTATATGTTATATTTTGTTTATTCATTTATTGATGGACATTTGGATTCTACTTTTTGACTATGCTGCAGTATAAACATTTGAGTATAAATTCCTATGTGGATGAACGTTTTCATTTCTCTTGGGGTTATACCTAGAAGTGTAATTACTGGGTTATATGGTAACTATGCTTATAAACTTTTTGAGGAGTTATGTATTGTTATTGACTTTTTAAACTCCCTATATCACCAGTCTTGGTTGATTGATTCTACCTCCTATGTATCCATGTTTTCCATCATTATTCCCACTACTATATACTGAAGATACACTTTACAGAATTACTTTAATAGCTTCCTTTCCTTTTTTGGCTTCTTTGTCATCACATGGCCTTACTCTATCACATACTTTTCACATTCTGAGAGATTGGTTTTTGAAAATGTAAATTTCATGAGATGACCTCTTTGTTTTAAAAACAAAGCAAAATAAAACGCAAACAAAAATTGTTCTCTGCGTCAAATCTAAACTAACATGGCTCATAAAGGCCCTTTGCTGTCCTCCTGACATATCTGTCTAGCTTCAGCTCCGTGGTGTGTGGTACCCCTCTGCCGCCATACTGATCTCCATATTTCAGAGTTTTGTAGTATGTGTTCTCCTGTCTAAGCCTTGCACTTACTCCACCCAAATCCTTTGTCTTATTTCAGATCTCTCTTCTCTTTTTAGAGGCCTTTTCGTCTCTTTCTGATTACATTGTGCTCTTCTTTGTGCCCCTCCAAATTCCTGCACCAATGTCGGGCCATTTAACATACATTGTAATCGCCTTTTTACTTCTGTGAGAGTCGAGAGCTAATAGTCAAGTGCCAGGGGATGCAGTACAGTCTAAAAGTATGATTAATAGGAATTTAGCAGAAGACAAGGTTACTTGGTAAGTTATTTGAGGAAGGCTTCCTGTAGGAGGAATATGGTACTTGAATTGGACCTTGAAGGAAGCGTTCATGAAAAGTATGGTAATGGTTGGCCTCTATAGGTAGATTAAATCTGTTAAATGCCCATGGATCTAGGCTCTGAGGAGCCATGCTAGGGGCAAAAACCATGACAAAACCAAGATGGATGGACATCTTTCAGCATTACTTTTGCATTACTTAATAAAACAAGCAGATTACAGTCACTCTTGTAGAAGAGAAGAATGCAAAGAACATGTAAAAGATTTTTATAGAATTCGTGTATTGATGAAATACATAATGATATATATATACTTTATGGAAATAAATATATAATAATATACTTTATGGAAAGTGTAAGGAATTTTTCAAGGGTAGTTTTGACCATATATGTTAATTTAAGAATTTACCCACCTATGTTTATAAAATTTCACTGGACTTCTAATGCAAGATTCAATAACTAGGTGGTTTCTGGATAAATTATAAAATCTTCTGCAAGACTCTTACAGCTATTGTTGGAGAAAATGGTCTGAGTAATATACTAGTGTTTGTCCAGAGAAAGGTTAGAAATGAGATAACTCAGTGTAGAAATTACCTGTCCAGATTGTGATTGTCTATACTCGCCCCTCAATTGACAGTAAAAGTGGGACTTGCAGATCTTTTCCAGAATGTCTGCAGCATATTGACACTCAGTGAATGTTTGCATTCATAAACAAAATAACCAGATTGAAATACAACTTCTTTGCATTTTCAGTATTTAAAGAATGTCTTAGAATGGCTGTTTAAAGGTAAAACTGCATTTATTATATTTTGCAACACAATACTGATTTAAAACTTTTTATAAAAGTCTGCTTTGCCAGTTAGGCAAAAATATTAGACTTAGAAATTTAAAAAAAAGAACTTCCCTCAAATTTTGAGAAAAGAAGCCATTCATGTTTAAATATAAATAAACTTTGACTTTTGGCTCTCTCTGGGTTTCACTGGCATGTTGGGGTGTTAAATCTTAGTTGTTGAAATAAACACCTCTGATTCCTCAAAAAATTAAATATTTTCTTCTCAGTTAATAACACATTTTGTTCAGTCTTCTGTAGCACTGTGAATTGCGTTGCACTTACTTATCATGGGCCCAAATGCCTTGAGGACGATGGCAGGAGTTAGGTGAGAGTCACAGACCTGCTCAGCTGCCGGGCAGCCGCGCTCAGCCACTGTCCTCTGTGCTTTGTCCCCTCTTCTCAGTCTGGGCCAAGCAGTGCCTCTTGTTGGTGATTCATGTATTTATACACAAGACACTCTCAATCATGACAGTGGTGATGACCTCACAGCCATGTACATACATCAATGTGTAAGAAATGATATAATTTAAATACCTACAATTTACTGAATGTCAATTATATCTCGTTAAAGCTTTTTTAAAAATCCTAACATGATGCCCACCGTCGACGGGTCATTAATTTATTAAGCCCCGTGTCTCCAGGAACTGCTCAGACTTTGCTCTCTTTCTCACTTGCTCCTCTTAGGGGCCCTCATGGCCTGAGTCCCCCCGCCTCACTAGTTCTTTGCCTTGGTTCTTACCCCCAGCCCCCGTCATTATCCATGCTGGAGCACTCTCTCTGGAAGAGGAACATCTCATGTTGCTAGTGTTCCTGGAGGCTCCAGCTGTTATTCTTAAGCCATTCCTGGATGCTGAAAACTGTGGCCAGCAGAAGGTTCAACATACATAGGCAGGACAGATGGAATCTGTATCTGCATCATGTATCCCCATGAATGCAGAGGACTTAGTCATGCAGATACATAGTTACTAGTATAAATTAAGATTGGTTATATAGCAAATTGCAGTGAAAAGGGACCAGGCACTCTATTGGTATTTCTCAAAGGCCAAAACTCTAAAGACCATACCATACCATAAGAATTATCAGAAACACTGGTTTGATTTTCCTCTGAACCAGAATCTGGGGGATAAGTCTGACAACTGCATTTTAATAAACTCTCTATCCCACTATACCTATATACCACCAGAGAGCTACTTAGAATGATAGGAACCTTGCTGGAAACCAGGGTAGATGTAAAAGGGAGGTAGAAGTTGATCTTCTGGATAGCTTGCTTTACCCATTGCTTCCTTGTGTTATAGAAATGGAAAGATTTTGACATCAGGTAGCAACAGTTTAAAATTGTTAATGTTCTGTAATGAATGTTGGGTGAAGATTATGTACTTAAATTTTTTTATAAAACTTTTTTTTTTCCCACAGAACTCAACAAAAATCCAGTGGAAGGCTTTTCAGCAGGTTTAATAGATGACAATGATCTCTACCGATGGGAAGTCCTTATTATTGGTCCTCCAGATACACTTTAGTAAGTATAATGGAACTGACATCCAAGTGGAACTCTTCTAATAATTGAAATATAAACTATTTTGACAAACTGAAGTTTCTCAGTTTACAAGAATGATTGTTAATCACTTTTAATTAATCACTATTAACTGATATAAAGATAGACAACAGAGTGTGGTGTTATCAAAGAACAAAGAAAAGATGGACTTTCTTATATATGTAGTACATTTTTAGATTCAGAGACCACACACAGTCTGATTTTCTGTTCCATGTGTTTGCAGGTCAACTTAAACTTGCTAATATTTAATGTTCTGTAAGATGGATCATGACTGTCTGATGTCAATGACTAGTACAAGTTGAATGCTTTTTATAGAAGTTGAGGTGTTGGGGAAAAATGCAGCAACCTTCTCAAAACCATACAACTGAGGGATAGCAGGGTCTTTCTTGGGAACTATTCTTGGTCACTCAACCTTGGTCCTTGATGGTACGAAGCAGCAAGGATTTGGATACATAAGACTTTTTTTTTGACAGTGAAATAGTTTTATTTTAGATGTTCTGAATGGTAACTCCGTTGCCCTCCCTCTGCACCTCCCCAACCTGATGGAAGAGAAAATTCAGAGCTAGTTATATACCAGAGCAAACTGGTATATGACATACACAGTTGAGCTGTAATATTGATTGGGAGGTTTTCTAAGGTCTGAAGAAAAATGATTTATGTTTTGTCACAACTATTGCTGATCAAAATTTTTGCTGATTTATTTCCCAATGGTACATTTGCATTGGTAATTGTTGCAAGCTAACTCAATCTAAGTCACTCTACAGTGATAGTTTGGTAGATAACAGTAGTCAATGAAAGCCCTCCTAGAGGTCTTCCCCCACAACCTTAATATTATTTGAAAGTAAATTTCTTACCAAGTTTTGCACACAAAATCATACTTATGCCTGTCTTCTGAGCCTGATGAGGTTCTGTTTTGGGTTTCTAAATCAAAACACATTGCATGAAGGTTTATTCAAGGAAGACACAGCAACATTCCAGTGGCAGAATCTTGTTAATCTTAAAGTTGGTGTGTGCTAACAAGAGAAGTTCTTCTAAACTAATGTCTAAGTAGAAAATGAGTGAGGCATCCAGGTTTGACCTCCCATCTCTAAGGACCTCACACAATTTTTATACTTTTTTCATGAGATGGTGGCAAGCATCTCTAAATGTTACTAGCTGGTCCGTATACATGTTGTGTCCCTTCAGCTTCATCAAAGAAAGACACTTTAATACTCATTGTACTAGTTAACAGGCCATCCTTCCTACCAATGAAAACCTATTTCTGGCCTTTCATATACGTTTAAAAAGTGCTGACTGTCTATCTGAGGCGTGGATAACAGAAGCATTTGTGGCAGCTCCTCTGGAGTTGCTGACTGGCTGCCATTTCCTCACTGTCCCTTACTGATGAGAGCACTGATGGCACCCAGGCTACAGTTTAACTTGAGTGCCAAATATACTTTGAACATCCTGTGAACAGTGAAGCCTTAATGCCGTTGACAGACCTTATAATTATCATCCAAATTTACCTGGGTATGATTCCTTTCTATGAATGACCTTTTCTAAAGTCATGAGAGTACATGCTGGAAGTTGTGAAATTCTTTATAAAGCCTTCAGGAAGGGGGTTTAAGATTTGTTGAGTGTTGGCCATCCCTTTTAGCAACTTCCTATTTAGAATTGTTTCAAAAATAAAGCATTGTAGGCATTTACACTACTTACTAATTTAGTTTCCTAATGTTTTTGAGCACTCTTATGCTAGATGCTATGACCATGGCCTTAAGGCAGGTAACAGGTGCTGCTGCGAAGCGGTTAGAGTTTAGCTGGCAGAGCTGCTCATTGGTCGTTATCTGATACACTTTGGGGATAGCCATGACGGAGGGAAGCATCGGGATATGGTGAGAACTCACTGGGTGTGTGGCAGGTTTCCAGTGTGCTGGGGAATATTTCCCAGAGGAGGAGATGTCTAAAGTGAGAACTGAAGAGCTAGTCACTGTTACTAGTTAGTAGGCTTCCGGCTATAAGCAAAACAAGTCTGATTTAACTGGCTTAGAAAATAAGGAAATTTGTTTTCTTGACAGAGATAGTAAAATGGTTACAACAGTTTTGAGCATTTCAGAGTATGCTGAAAAGGAAGAAGTGAAGGTAGTTTCTGCTTGTGTTTTATGTATTTCTTATATAGAAATAAGAATAGAGCCTCCAATTAAAATAAAAAAAAATAAGAGTGAGCTAAAGTCAAAAAAGTAAAAAAAAAAAAAAAAAGGTTATTTTTTATGTATTTCAATGTAGAAAAGCCTTTTTTCTGGAAGCTGTCCAGACTCTTGTCTCATTTGTTGGAATCAAGTTGCTTCATCATTCCTTACCTGGTAACTGGCAAGATGAATGAGATTGCCACATTTGGTTTAATTATTCTGGGATTGAAGCGATTTGGGATTGTCAATAGCTGGTAAGGATTAACTAGACAAATATTCTGGCAGTAGCAGTGGGCTTAGGAGATGGGGATAAGTGGAAGGGAAGCTGGGGATTGAGCATTTCATAGGGAGAAAGAAATGTTTGTGTACATAGGTCTGGAAAATAAGGGACAGAACAAGGGAATGGCAACTGAGCAAAACGACTATAAGGAATTTCAAAAAATGAGGTTGGCTAGAGAGTTGAGGGCTAGAAAATGTTTGTAAACACTGTTAAGGAGTTAGGATTTTTCTTTGTCCTGAGGACAAAGCATAACCATTGGAGAGTTTTACATCACGAGTTATCAGGTTTATATCTTAGAATGTGCATCAGATTCTAAGTATCGTAACTTTGGAATTATAAATTTTATCTTCCTTCAGCTTACTTGTGTTTTATTTCTGCAGTAAAATGTTTTAAACTATTGTTTAAAAAAATTGGGGGGGGGCATCTATAGTGTAAGAAGGGGATTCCTTGATAGCTCAGCTGGTAAAGAATCACCTGCAATGCAGGAGACCCTGGTTTGATTCCTGAGTCAGGAAGATCCCCTGGAGAAGGGATAGGCTACCTACTCCAGTATTCTTGGGCTTTCCTGGTGGCTCAGACGGTAAAGAATCTGCCTGCAGTGCGGGAGACGTGGGTTTGATCCCTGGGTTGGGAAGCTCCCCTGGAGGAGGGCATGGCAACACACTCTAGTAGTCTTGCCTGGAGAATCCCCAAGGACAGAGGAGCCTGGTGGGCTGCCGTCCATGGGGTCTCAAAGAGTCAGACACAACTGAGCGACCAAGCATGCATAGTGTAAGAAATGGACTGAAGTAGGGAGATGAACAGCCTTGCCCAGGGGATGGCACACTTGTGCCTAGGACAGGGCCCTGAGAAAAGCAGAGGAAGTTAGCCAGACATCTAACAAAATGTTTTATAGAAGGAAGCTTTCTAAAATGCCACCAAGAATCAAGTATTTAATGCTGTTTGTTGATTTAACAGTAAGGAAGTTACTGGTATTCAGTGGAGTGAAGAGGGTAGAAGCCTTCTTGTGGTTGTTGGAGGAGTGTTATTTGAAATGAGACACAGATCTTAAGTGTAAGTAACTGACTACGAGGAGAAACAGAGAGGCTGGTAATGGGGGGAGGGGTTATAGTATTGAAAGTAATTAATGTGAGCTTAGATGGTATCCAAACCTAAGTGATTGATCCATCAGTTAGTAATTAATTAGGTCATTTCTGTAATAATAGAATGATTGCTGTACTAAAAAATTCTTTAAAAGCTAGTGTAGATGACCCAGCAATCCCACTGCTGGGCATACACACCAAGGAAACCAGATCTGAAAGAGACACGTGCACCCCAATGTTCATCGCAGCACTGTTTATAATAGCCAGGACATGGAAGCAACCTAGATGCCCATCAGCAGATGAATGGATGAGGAAGCTGTGGTACATATACACCATGGAATATTACTCAGCCATTAAAAAGAATTCATTTGAATCAGTTCTAATGAGATGGATGAAACTGGAGCCCATTATACAGAGCGAAGTAAGCCAGAAAGATAAAGACCATTACAGTATACTAACACATATATATGGAATTTAGAAAGATGGTAACGATAACCCTATATGCAAAACAGAAAAAGCAACTCAGATGTATAGAACAGACTTGTGGACTCTGGGAGAAGGCGAGGGTGGGATGTTTCAAGAGAACAGCATCGAAACATGTATATTATCTAGGGTGAAACAGATCACCAGCCCAGGTTGGGTGCACGAGACAAGTGCTCGGGCCTGGTGCACTAGGAAGACCCAGAGGGATCGAGTGGAGAGGGAGGTGGGAGGGGGGACCAGGATGGGAATACATGTAAATCCATGGCTAATTCATTTCAATGTATGACAAAAACCACTGCAATGATGTAAAGTAATTAGCCTCCAACTAATAAAAATAAATGGGAAAAAAAAAAAGCTAGTGTAGTTCATGGTGGTGCCATTAACCCTCATTTAGCCACTAGAGGGCACCCCACACTCCTTACTATCCATGTGTCAATAACTGGTATATTCAGGCATTACTTTATTGATAGTTGCTTTGAGTATTAATTTAGCTGTTACATTTATCTTCACACAGTATTAACTTTTTATTGCTGCTCTTGCCATTGGCTCAGACAGTAAAGAGTCTGCCTACAATATGAGAGACCTGGGTTCGATCCCTGGGTTGGGAAGATCCCCTAGTGAAGGAAACGGCAACCCACTCCAGTATTCTTGTCTGGAAAATCCCATGGATGGAGGAGCCTGGTGAGCTACAGTCCATGGGTTTACAAAGAGTTGGACACAAACTGAGCAACTAACACTTGCCATTAATTAATGTTTCTGGAGATACTAAAAATAGATTCTTGAGGCTTTCTCTCTATGAAAAATAACCTGAAACTCGTGTGACAACCTGCTATTTTCAGACTAATGATTATCACGTAGTGTGACTAGCTGCTCATTACCACGGAAAGAATAATATCAGGTAGGAGCGGCAGTAGGCTTTGAAAGAAACTTTAGGAGACATGGGTTTCACTGTGAATTATAAATTTTATAAATTTGTATTAGTAAATGGTATGTAACTTTTGCTGTATCTCTTTTTCATCACTCATGTCTGGTGTGCTCAAGTAGTATGTTTTATATTGTGTCCTACCTCTGGCAATGGTGTGAAAAATTTGTAGAATCTTGGAAGATTATATGTATCTTGTTATTGCCTTACCTTGAGTGTATATAGAAAATGAAGAGTTGACTAACCAAATTTCCAGATTAATATTCTTTTACAGTAACAAAATTCTTATACATTCTGTTTAAAACTTAGCTGCACAAACTATATATTTTGTAATGAACTTTCAGAAGGAATGAACCTGGTGCCCATGTGACTTAGAAATTGATTGATCAATGGCAGTACCCTGTCATTTATCATTTAGTGCTTAAGGATGTGAGTTTTGGAGAATATCTTTGTTTACCTCCCTGAGTCTACTACTGTTATTATCCCTGTGAAGTTTAACAGTTATTTAAACTTCATCTTGTTTCATTTCTAGCGTAAAACCTTGTGCCTGGAAAGTGTTCAGAATGTTCAGTATTTTATTGTTTGTAGTAGCAAAAACATTGGAAGCCATCAAATATTTTATGAAGGTAATAAATTGTGACAGGTAAAAATGAATAAACAAGACAGATGTGAAAAGGAATATATAAAAGAACAATGTTGATGGCAACATATGGTATATCATTTAAAGAAATGATATGGCTGAATGATAGGATCTGACAAAGTAGAATGATAGGCTCTTACCCTTGTAAGATTTTTATACATTTGATACACAGACAGTAAGGGAAGTCTAATAGAAGAAACTTGAATTGGCCTAGAACATCATGCTAGTAATCATATATGTAATATGATATATCTATAATTATATATAGCAGTTATACTCTTACACTGTTAATATCTGTGAAGAGAAAGCATCATTTAAACCATTGATGCTTTTCATAAAACTTTGGTTTTGCTCATCATAGTAGCATCTTTATGTATTTGAAAAATATGAATATGTGACATTTTAACATTTATTTAACCATGTTTTGTACACTATGTTTTGAGTTTCAGGCTTAAAAAAAAAGTAGGATTTTCACAGGTGTTAGAGAAGTTAAGGTTTCCACTGGTAGGAAAAAAACTGAAGAATTGCATGATTGATTCAGAATGGATGAGGACATTGCAGAAAAAAAAAATTGTGTACTTTAAACTTTTAAGGATAATCCAGTTAATTAAATTTGATCAAAATTTTTAATAGACTAAGGTAATCTTTCATGGTAGGGATTTCAGTCAGCTGTTGTAAAGCTTTTAAGTGGATCTGATATCAGTCAAAATTTAGGGACCCAGGAAAGCTAACTTGGTATCAGGGAATAGTCTTACCAATGGTTTAAAGTACATGGGTTTTGTGGTAGCTGTTCTGATGTTCTTTTACATAGATTCTTGCCTAGTTTTTATATTTTTGGCTTTCGAAGTATTTTTTTTAAAACCACAACCCATAATCAGAAATGTTTTACATTATGACCCTCTGTATACTTAATACACTTCATAGAAGGAAGCATGTATGTAAGCATAAAGAGAAACATGTTCCATTCAGAGCCCAGTGGCCTTTCCTAAGTATTCAGAAGTATTTGGTGTTCATGATCTACCTTTCTTGAACACTGTCCTGTCATCTTGGTTTTATGATCAGAAAAAAGCAATGAGAATACATACTTGCTTTGGTTAAAACTTCAAGTGATATCAATATGTACAAAGCAGAAAGTAAAAAGTCTCATAATCCCGTGCTTCAGAGTTAACCACTTTTGTGTATTGGTGTCATGTTTCCAGACATTTTTCTATTTCTATACAAACATACCCTCACTTTTTCTTGTTAAAGACAAATGGGCTTATTCTGTAGATACTTTTTAAAAACTTAACAATAGATTGCTCATTTCATTCCAGTATTTATTACTGGTACTTTTCTTGATATTTTCCTCTGACCCTAGAATGGTAGGTGCTATAAATCAGCGATCTCTAATGTCTCGTTCTCTGTCATATTCGTTTGCGTACAGCAGTGCCTTCTCTAGGTAGATAATCAATATGTTTGTTTAAAGAATGAAAATCATTTAATGAGCTGAGAATTCTGTTATTTACTGATCTGAAACAAACACAGTCAGATGACCCTGCTCTATGGGGGTATATATCTTATAATAAAAGAATCAGAGGTGTGAATTCCTTTTGCAGTAAAGAAATGGAAAAGAAGTCCATGTGATAGAGGGACACAGGGGCTAGTTAAGATTGGGTAGCCAAGTAAAATCTTTCTCAAGAGGTAACATTTTGGCTGAGTTCTGAATATAACAAAGGGAGAAGCGCCTTTGAAACAGAGGAAACGCAGTACCAAGGTCACTAGTCAGGAACTTTGTCATTTTTGCCCCATAAGGCGGCTGACTTTTTTCATTGGTTTTCTGCAACACTGACTTGTGTTATTTTGACGGTTGTTGAGGAACAGTTCCTAAGCACAGCAGTCACTAGTCACTTGTGGCTGTTAGAATTAAACAAGATTAAAAATTCAGTTCATCAGTTGTATTGGGTTGGCCAAAAAGTTCTAGCCTTATTATAAGTGGCTGGTGGCTATCATGTTGGAGAACGTAACTATAGACTGTCTCCAGTGTGCAGAGAGTTCTGTTGTGCAGCACTATTTTGAAACACACCAGAATATAAACTCCTTGAGAGATTATGCTTTGTTCACTGCTGTACTCCCAGTGTCTGGCACGTAAAGACTGAATAAATACTTGTTAAATGATAAGATGAATAAATGGATGGATGGATGGTTGGAGGTCAGCACAACTGTTCCCAGAGAGGCAATAAGAAAATGCATAAGCTCTCAGATGAGAAAAAGCTTGTTGCGTTTAAAGAACAGAAAGAAGAATGACTGGGATGAGAGAGAAGAGTGATAGGTTGAGATCAATATAGAGAAATTGACAACTTGACCCTGATAGGCGATGTTAAAGAACATTTGAGTTTTAAGTGCAGTGGGAAGCAATAAAAAGATGTGTGTAGCACAACAGTAGCGTGATCTGATCTGGATGCCTTTTTAAAGCTGCTTCTTTCATTTTACTGTATTTTGAGAGTTTAATAAGGTGGTAGGTATGACAGTTTATACTAAACTTGGTATTTGAGTAAGTAAACTGCTTGAAATCCAGATTATTTATTTCATATATAATGTTAGCACTAGTATCCTTGTTTTATGTTTGTTTTTAATAATTATCTTACTTATAAGCAGGAACTTATAGGCAAGAACTTGTTTTTGTTTTTCCAGTGAAGGTGGTGTTTTTAAAGCTCATCTCACTTTCCCAAAAGATTATCCCCTTCGGCCTCCTAAAATGAAATTCATTACAGAAATCTGGCATCCAAATGGTAAGTTTATCTAGTTTTACATTTGCAAGTATGATGGCCTGTCACCAAAGTTTTCAAGGTCAATAAGTAAGATGCTGTTCTCAGTGAAATTGTGTTGGGATTTTCATACTAGGTTCGTTGTGTTTGTTATGTACATGGTCTTGGATTAGATTCCTTCTAAAAGAAAGAGTAACGGATCAAATGGAAAAAATTTGTTTATTTACTTAGTTCTCAGCTATGATGTTCACAGCTGAGATGTTCATGAGTTCATGGGTGATACTGAGCATTAATAGAGCTCTTAAAATTGACATTATTTCCAAGGTATTATGTGATTCATTGGCTATTACAGAGAACACAGAAGTAGTTAAACTTGGATTTTTCATTTTTATTTTCTCATCTTAGTTCCTAGACTATGGATACTCTTAACTATTTTGTTTTTCATAAGAAAAAGGAATATCTTACCTACATCATAAGATGATTGATAGGGTCAAATGAGATAAAACTCTGCGTGTTTAGATCTTTGGAAAGTATCTAACAGTGCTGTGCATAAAATGGTGGCAGTGACTTTTTTTTACCCGAAGTTGTACAACCATTTAAAATTCACTTTGTGAGCCAAAGGTTAGTCTAGATAAACTATGTTTATACACAGTCTCCCTGAACTTTTGGCCTTGTTTTGTATGATTGAGCTTGCAAGAATTTCTTTCCTAAGTATTTTGACTTTAAGTATTTTGTAATCAGTGTTGTCTTTTTAGACTGTTAAACCAGTCTGCATTCTACTTCTCATAACCCAGACATTGTGTTGCAAGGAAGAGAAACTCTTCTATATTAGTTTAAGCAAAAATCAGTGAGAGTAATGGATGCGTGAATAAACCAAGGCTTGGTTACAAGGAAATGTAATAGAACTCAGTGACCTGAAAACAGTTGAGTCTTAGAAGAGAATATAACTAATGAATGGAAAACTATTGGGAATCAAGGAGGCCACCATATTTCATCACATCTTAGGTAGCAGTGATCACAGAAGACATAGTTATTTTTTGCACCAGTATGAAGGGAAAAAAAGAATTTCTTTCTGGTAGAACACGTTAGTGATAGTCCTGCACAATATATGGATGCATGAATCGACCACATCTGCCCCTTGTTGCTTGGACATATGGTTCGTTTCTTCCTAGGCTCTTGGCAGTTTCCCGTGCCTTCTCTTGAATTATTCAGTGTGTAATAGTCAATTTTTTTGCACCTGTTTGAAAGGAAAATGTAACAAAAAGTTTCTGAATGCTGTCTCTTGCATGAATTAGCCCATGTTACTGTTGGTAAAGCCTCTTGGAGCTTTAGTTTCTTTGTGAGTTACATGAGAGCATATGTGAAAGCAGTACATGGACTTGAATTATTAAGAGGAATGATAGCACTGGCCTTTTCACTCAATTATCAGCTCAATTATTTCACTCAGATATCTTGCCTTTTTAAAAAAATTACTACAGTTTTAATAGGTAATAGGTATTAAGCATAAAAGCCTCATTCTAAGAGGTTTAAAATGTTTTCTATATGTTTAAAATGAAATGACATGAGGTTAAAATTTTAAAGATGCTAAATTATAGCAATTTCTATAAAAGGAAAATGGATCTTAAATCTATTCTCTCTGATAGAATTTTGTACAAACATTTGATATTAAATGTTCTCAAACGTGACTTCCTTTTCTCAAGGAAAAATTTATATTATGTGGTGAGGAAAATATCTTAACACTATATTATCATTTTCTGTTCAACTTTATAGTGCTGTTACAAGTTTTACTGTTGTTATTCTTTCCTCTTGATCTAGTTATTTCATTTTAGTTAATAGATTATATTAGAAGGTGTAAGTGAGTTGGGATAAGGAGTGTTAATTGTAGAATAGTTCATGTACAATACACTGAAGGCATGGGTCTTAAATGTTGCATTCACTGCTAAACTCCCTGTGTCAAGTGGGTGCCTGGCATATAACATGCACTCAGAAAGCATTAGTCATAGAGCCACAATGCATACAAGCTTTGATGCTGGCTCCCCAGAGGTGAAAAATACGCTTTAACATTATACCTATCATAAATTTGTTGGACTTTAGGTAGGAAGTCAGAAATGAAAGTAAGTATTGTTATTGGTTATTTATAGGATTTGCAGATTTGTTGTGTAATGTAAAGAAGTTAGTGGAATAGGACCCCATTCCCCCTTTTGATCAACAGTTAATTTATGGCTTGGATTTTAAAATAGGTTTATAGATTAGAGACCTAATGAATGTATGCTGATGAGTTTTCACTGGCATTATAAAATGATCTTTTTGGAGGAGGAAACGGCAACCTACTCCAGTACTCTTGCTTGGAAAATCCCATGGATAGAGGAGCCTGGCAGGCTGCAGTTCATGGGGTTGCAAAGAGTTCGACACTTCACTTTGTGGATTTGTGTGTGGATTTGTGTGTGTGTTTTCCCTGAAGATATAATTTTGCCTTTATATGATTTAAAAAGTACTTTATGATGTTATTTTTTATTTTTTTCTTACGAAAGTCTTAGACCTTTGACTATCAACAATTTCAATCAGTAAGTTGTTAGGGAAACCAGGAAATCATACAGAAACTCAGTTCTGATGTTTGGACCATATACTTTGTATAAATGAACAGATTCAATAGATACAATTTATTTCATTATATTTATTACATGTAAATGCTAGGTACTATATACATATTAACTTGAAATTTTGCAGAAATGTAAAAGATAGCTTACATTTCTTTTGGGTTTGTCAGGTGGATTCTATTTGGTAGAATCTCCGGTCTTCCTAAAAGGTTAATAGGTTCCATTTTGGAAATTAACTTCTGTATATATTCAGTGGAACAGTGGTACTGAATTTTATACAGATACCATAGGAATCAGGATCATATCAAATAATATGTATTTTATGTATAGCCAATTTTTTAAAGTATTTAAAACTGGAATCTTACTCTCTAATTTTGCAGTTGATAAAAATGGTGATGTATGCATTTCTATTCTTCACGAACCTGGAGAAGATAAATATGGTTATGAAAAGCCAGAGGAACGCTGGCTGCCTATTCACACCGTGGAAACCATCATGATTAGTGTCATTTCTATGCTGGCAGACCCCAATGGAGACTCACCTGCTAATGTTGATGCTGCGGTAAGGTGGTCACATGGACACATCTGCTCTCCCCTTTAATTAAGTTTGATTAAAACTATATACTTTTATATGTATATGTATGTGTTTGTGGATATGTATTGATATGTCTGTTTATTTTATTCATTTATTTTTCTCATAAATTTTATTTTACCACCAAATAGTTGTACCTTTTAAGAATAAGGATGCTATCCTACATAATTGTAAAACTATTATTATACTTAATATCTAGTCACTATAAGGTCCATATTACTTGCAAGCATTTATTTTTAAAACTTTCAGACCTACAAAACGTTGGATTACCCTATACCCTACACATAGATTGTGGCATCTGGTCCCATCATGGGAAATAGATGGGGAAACAGTGGAAACAGTGTCAGACTTTATTTTTTTGGGCTCCAGCATCATTGCAGGTGGTGATTGGAGCCATGAAATTAAAAGACGCTTACTCCTTGGAAGGAAAGTGATGACCAACCTAGATACCATATTAAAAACCAGAGACATTACTTTGCCAACAAAGGTCCGTCTGGTCAAGGCTATGGTTTTTCCAATGGTCATGTATGTATGTGAGAGTTGGACTATGAAGAAAGCTGAGCACCAAAGAATTGATGCTTTTGAACTGTGGTGTTGGAGAAGACTCTTGAGAGTCCCTTGGACTGCAAGAAGATCCAGCCAGTCCATCCTAAAGATCAGTCCTCGGTGTTCATTGGAAGGACTGATGCTGAAGCTGAAACTCCAATACTTTGGCCAACTCATGTGAAGAGTTGACTCATTGGAAAAGACCCTGATGCTGGGAGGGATTGGGGGCAGGAGGAGAAGGGGACGACAGAGCATGAGATGGCTGGATGGCATCACTGACTCGATGGACATGAGTTTGAATAAACTCCAGGAGTTGGTGATGGACAGCAAGGCCTGGCATGCTGCGATTCATAGGGTCACAAAAAGTCGGACACGACTGAGCAACTGAACTGAACTGAACACATAGATTCACAATTGTGGAGATTTTGCAACATTGTTGTTATTATTAACATTATTGTCATTATTATTATTTGTTAAACTGAGTAGACTTTACAGATCTTTATATTTAAATACTTCAGCATGTATCTCCTAAGAATAAAGAGAGGGGGCAGGGGGCAAGGGAGAATCCAGAATTTAGGAACTTATTTTATTTTGTATTCATGTTTTATTTATTTTTACTCAGTTTTTTATTTTTCAATCTTCTTTCTTTTCCTTTTAAAAAAATTATTTTTGTTTCTGTTTTTTTTTTTTGCCTGCACCATGTGGCATATGGAATCTTAGTTTCCTGATCAGGGATTGAACTTGTGGCCCTGCAGTGGAAGTGTGGAGTCTTAACCACTAGGAAAGTCCTGTATTAATGTTTTATTTGTCTTTTTTTAAATCTAGAATAGTCCTAGTTCCTCAGTCATCTATCCCTCTTTAAAATTCCTTTTGCTCTAATTCTTGGAAACTTTGTTAGGATATGTGAAAGCCAGCAGGTTAAATTCACCTTTTTTTTTTCTTGTTAATTCAAATGTACATAAAAACTTGAGGGTAAAATCTTACTTGTAGAAAAACACTACATAGATAACCACCTTTCATTTGATCTTCGCCAAAAGGCCAAGAAGTGATATAACCACCTTTCAAATCTCTGGCTTTGAATTTTTTAATTTAGTAATTGAATTGAAGTAAACACTGACAGAAAATCATTCTAACTTTATACTTAGTCAAGTATCAGTCCAAACAACATAAGGAGTGTATGTGTGCAGAATTGGTTCTCCTCAGGAGTGTGTGAATGATAAGCCAGATATTAAACTCAGAGTGGAAAAAAAAAAAGTAAGAGTGAGTTGGAGGAAGAGAGGTGTCAAATGCCAAAATGAAGAACTAATTACTTTCCATACCAAATACCCATACCTGGAGCTCTAATTCTAATGGTCTTCAGATACTTTTATAAAATCTATATATCATCATTATGACTTTAGGAAGGTATTAAAATTTGGGGTGTGTGTAGAAGGAAAGGCCAAACTTTCTGTCATTCAGTTTTCAACCCCACTTTTTACTGACTTCAAGCTGCCATTTCCAAACTTTAACTTTGAGGTTCTCTTCAGTAAGTCCTTTCCCTCTTTGCTGGGGTCCCACTGAGACTTCCCTAGGCTACTACTTTCTCTGCTCTGCTGCATGTTTCATTGTTTCATCTTTCATCTATTTTTGGTCTTCCAGTCCCCATTATTAGATGACTTCACTGCCATTTTCTTTGGTAGTGAGGATTTATATCTTAAAAAAGAAATTCCAGGGACTTCCCTGATGGCCCCAATGGTTAAGATTTCATGCTCCTGATGCAGGGAGCACAGGTTCTAGAACTACAATCCCACATGCTGCATGGTGCACTCAAATAATAAATATTCCAATATAATCTCTTTAATACCTTTCTACCTGATCTCCCTTGCTCTCAGTCTTAATTGTCTCTGCTAAGTGTGCTTTTTAGGTGATTTTTCTTCTCCTTGGTATTGACCTTCCCTGTTTACTGGAATCGCTCTTTCTTCCTTAAAATGTCTTAGAAATGATGAGGTAATTACAGACAATAACATTTTATTCACAAATACTTCATCAAATATCTACAAATCTCTCTGCATTTCCACATTATAGTTTACCTCATAATTTACTGTAATGATTGGCTTACTGGGGTGCCTTGCTTTGAGGGAAAAAATTTGTTCAGATCTCTTCCTCTGCATAAGCAAGTGTTGAAGGTTTCCAGTCTTTGCTGTCCCTACATGGATGATACAGGAAAAAAAAAAAAAAATAGGCCAGGCATTTTAGTGAGAATTTCCTGCTATTTACATACTAAATAAAAATCAGCTCTATTCTCGTGTGAAAGTATGCTGGTCCTGTTTTGTGTTCCATTTTCATGTGCCTGGCAGTAATAGTGTCATTGTTACTGTCCTGTCCTGTCCCCTCCCCCACTGGAAATACTACTCAGTATCATCTCAGTATGCTGCATTACACCCATCTACCTGATATAGGAGGCACAGTTCTGTCTACTTTATTTTATGGTTGCTTCCAGTAGAGTTGGTGATCATTCAGACAGCCTGGATATCTTATTTGTAAGTTGTAGCTTTCTTTCCAGTGTAATACAAAATTGCTAAAGTTTTTTAGGGCCCTTTCCTTTTTCAAAGAGACTGTGCCTATAGAAGTAATTTGTATGTATCCTGGCAGAGTGCCTTGCAAAAATGTTTTCTACCTTATCAACTGTTGAACATTTTATACCTGTTCACATTGCCAAAGCATTACATTAAAAAAGTAAGGTATTTGAGATTGTAAGAGGAGTCTGCATAAAATCACTTGATATTACTTTTGTATTTACAGAAAGAATGGAGGGAAGACAGAAATGGAGAATTCAAAAGGAAAGTTGCCCGCTGTGTAAGAAAAAGCCAAGAGACTGCTTTTGAGTGACATTTATTCAACAGCTGTAACTTCACTTATTTCAGGGTAAGTTCATTTAAAAAAATCATCCTACTCTTTTGCCTTTTTTATACATGACGTAAGTGTTTTTAGAAAATGTGTGATCTTGGGTATTTGAATCGCTTGTTTTCATTGGATTCATTTTTCAGTGGTAGTATCCAGTAGTCTGCTGTTTCTCAGCAGATTAGTGTCATCTGCTTGCTTTTTCCTTTAGTAAATCCAGCTGTTTTTAACTAGATATTCCATGTTAAACTGATTTAGTATGGTAGTAGTTCACTGTCGGTAAAATTTCTGATTATAAAGGGTTTTTTTTTTGTTTTTGCTATATTTTCTTTGTTTTACCTTTTGGTCTGCCATCTTTGACTAAACTAGGCATTAAAATTTCTTATATTATACTGTGCTATATATGGTAAAGATTGACTTAAGTTTTTCCTAGTTTTTTTAAAAAAGAAAGACCATAGTTTGTAATATATTGATAAGACCATTAAACATCTGCCTTTCTTGTTTTAATTGGTCTTTATCTCCTTGCTCATTACTTACAGGGCCAGTAGGAAAATTTTTCCTTTTCTTGTATACCATCTGTCCACAAATCTGCTTTAAGTCTATCAAGGAGCCAAAGATAGTAGGCACCCATCTGGCTTAGAAGAAGACAGGGTGTAGATAAATTGACCAAATGTGTGATATTTAAGTTCTCTGGTTTTTCTTTCTTTAAATTAAATATTGAGGTGATAAAACCTACTTATGAAACGTAGCATCTAAAAAAGTGAGAGTACATGCTATATCTTTGTACCAGCCACCTATTGTAAGAAAAAGAGCTGTATTATTAACTGTTACATCTCCTACATTCCCCTCCTCTACCCATACTTTTTTCATATTCCCAATTCTGTGTTTATCATTGCTTTTCTTCACAATTTCATCAATTTGTATTCCTAAACAACATATTGCATGTTTTTGAGTTGAATATATGTGGAACTATAATGTCTTTTTTTGATCATATTCTTTTGTGACTTCGTTGCTCAACATTATATTGTTGAAATTGTCCTTTGTTATATATACAGTTATATTCCATGTTCACTGTTATGTAGTATTTCATTAGATAAATTTACTCTTGATTCTCATTTCATTATTTCTCTGGAGTGGGGTTGTTTGTCTGTTTTTTGTTATTGTTGTTTTTGCTTATTCTTGTTTCTGTTTTTGTTTTCTTTTTATTTGGGGTAGGCTGTTTCTTATTTTTGGCTGTACTGCCTGATTCCTAGGATCTTAGTTCCCTAATCAGGGATTGAACCTGGGCCTAGGGCAGTGAAAGCACTGAGTCTTAACCACTGGACCACCAGGGAATTTCCTTATTTCACTTTGTTTTTGCTATTACAGAGAATGTAGCTATCCTTGCTTCTTATAGAGGTACTGCAAGAGTTTCTCTTGGGTGTATACCTAGGGGTAGAATTAAGTTAAAGGTATATATACATCACTTTGACTAGATAATGCCAAATTGTTTTAAAGAATATTGGATCTATGTATACTCTGGTTGGCAAGGACAAGAGTTCTATTTGCTCCATATCCTCTTTTAACATTTGATATTATCAGACTTCTGCAAAGTCTTGTTTGTTTTCCTAAAGTTTTTTCTTTTGGGTCTTCACTGTGGTGGATGGGCTTTCTCTAGTTGTAGTGTGCAGGCTCAGTTGTCCTGCGGCATGTGGGATCTTCCTGTAACCAGGGATCAAACCTGTGTTCCTTGAATTGGAAGGTAGATTAACCACTGGACCACCAGGGAGGTCCTTTCCCAAAGTTTTTGATCTAGTGTCAAATGAGATGTCATTATAGACTTGATGTATGTTGCCCTAGTTACCAATGCAGTTGCATACTGTAATGTGTTTGACCATTGATACTTCCTCTGTGAAGTGCTTTTTTTGGTCTTTCCTATTTTTCAGTTAGGTTGTTGGTTTCTATCCTTGTCAGTTTACTTTCTTTATAGTATCTTTGGGTGAACAGAGGTGCTTAATTTTAATGCAGTTGAATTTTAATTTTTTCCTATATGGATTTTACTTTTTGTGTCTTAGATTCTTCCCTGCCACGAGAAAGTTATTATTGTAGGATGAAGTAAGAGGACAAAGGGAGAAACAAAATCTTCCCTCTCCCATAGATCAGCTACATGGCCACATTCTATACCACCAGGCAAAAGGATTCTGTCTTTTGGTTCTGTATCAAGGGTAGAGGGACTGTATTAATTTCCTTGCTATTTTACAAATTACCTAACATTCAGTGACCTAAAACAACATCTATTATCTCATGCTTTCCACAGGCCAGGGATCCATGTTGAATCTTCTAGCTCTGGGTTCGTCATAATGCTGCAGTCAAGGTGTTGGTTGGCACTGCAGCCATCTATCTCAGGGTTCAGCTGTGGGTGGATCTGCTTCCAAGTTCAGTCATGTGGCTCTCGGCAGGTTTCTGTTCCTCACAGGCTGTTGACTGGGTTCTTCCTAAGTTTTGTCACATGGGCCTCTTCGTAGGTCAGCTCACAACATTGGTTGGCCTCACCAGGGAAAAAATAAGATGGTAAGAGAAGATAAGCTCTGGGTGTGGTGGATGTTACTGCCTCCTGTCCAGAGGGAAATAATCATATTCCAGCCTGTTGGGAATGTTGCCTGCTGATAACTCATAGCCGAGTTGCTTTCTAGGAGTTAAGAGATCACTTGCCCAAGTTAGTCCCTTTCCCCAGAAGCCACTTGCATCCATGGACTGTTTGGTTTGGAGAAAGAATGGGTTGGTACAAAGACTTGGGCTTTTTTCTCAATTTGGGAATTATCTGAAAGGCCATTCCAGTGTGGGATTGACTGAAGCCTGTATTTCAGCTGTGCTAGCCCCATCATCTTCTGCTTAGATCTGTTTCCCTCACTGTTGCTCTTCAAAGCACTTCCCAGTAAACCTTACACAAATACCTGTCTCAGAATCTATTTCCTAGGCAACCTGACCAGGACAGAAGGCATTGTGTAACCAAGACAGTAACGCTGAAGAAGCTGAACAGTTCTATGAAGACCTATAAGAACTTCTAGAACTAACACCCCCAAAAGATGTTCTTTTCGTTATTGGGGACTAGAATGCAAAACTAGGAAATCAAGAAATACCTGGAGTAACAGGCAAATTTGACCTTGGAGTACAGAATGAAGCAGAACAAAGGCTAATAGAGTTTTGTCAAGAGAACACACTGGTCATGGTAAACACCCTCTTCCAACAGCATAAGAGAACACTCTACACATGGACATCACCAGACAGATGGTTAGTACTGAAATCAGATGGATTATATTCTTTGTATACAAAGATGGTGAACTCTATACGGTCAGCAAAAACCAGACCAAGAGTTGACTGTGGCTCAAATCATGAACTCCTTATTGCCAAATTCAGACTTAAATTGAAGAAGGTAGGGAAAACCACTAGGAAACCTAGTGAAAACCTAGGAAAACCTAGGAAAACCACTAGGCCATTCAGGTATGACCTAAATCAAATCCCTTAACGATTACACAGTGGAAGTGACAAATAGACTCAAGGGATTAGATCTGATAGAGTACCTGAAGAAATATGGACGGAGGTTCATGACATTGTACAGGAGGCAGTGATCAAGACCATCTCTAAGAAAAAGAAATACAAAAAGGCAAAATGGTTGTCTGAGGAGGCCTTACAAATAGCTGGGAAAAGAAGAGAAGCAAAAGGCAAAGGAGAAAAGGAAAGATATACTCATTTGAATGGAGAGTTCTAAAGAGTAGCAAGGAGAGATAAGAATGCCTTCCTCAGTGAACAGTGCAAAGAAATAAGAGGAAAACAATAGAATGGGAAAGACTAGAGATCTCTTCAAGAAAATGAGAGAAACCAAGGGAATATTTCATGCAAAGATAGGCTCAATAAAGGACAGAAATGGCATGGCCCTAACAGAAGCAGAAGATATTAAGAGGTAGCAAGAATACACAGAAAAACTACACAAAAAAGATCTTCATGACCCAGATAACCATGATGCGATCACTCACTTAGAGCCAGACATCCTGGAATGCAAAGTCAAGTGGGCCTGAGGAAGCATTATTATGAATAAAGCTAGTGGATGTGATAGAATTCCAGTTGAGCTATTTCAAATCCTAAAAGATGATGCTATGAAAGTACTGCACTCGATATGCCAGCAAATTTGGAAAACTCAGCAGTGGCCACAGGACTGGAAAATGTCAGTTTTCATTCTAGTCCCAAAGAATGTACAAACTATTGCACAGTTGCGCTCATCTCACACGCTAGTAAAGTAATGTTCAAAATTCTCCAAGCCAGGCTTCAACAGTATGTGAACCATGAATTTTCAGATGTTCAACCTGGATTTAGAAAAGGCAGAGGAACCAGAGATCAAATTGCCAACATCCACTGGATCATCGAAAAAGCAAGAGAGTCCCAGAAAAACATTTACTTCTGCTTTATTGACTGTGCCAAAGCCTTTGACTGTGTGGCTCACAAAAAACTGTGGAAAATTCTT